ACTGGTTGGGCTAAACTTACTAGGCTATAAAAAATGTGCAAATTAGGCAAGCCTAAAAATTTGAAGCTCTGGGTTGAGCCCAGCCAGTCTATAAAAAAACTGGGACCTGCTCAGATTTATTCAGTGCAGTAAGAACTAAGAGCGGCAAGAGACAGCATAGTAGGCCTTCATAGGCCTAGCCTAGATCTAGGAAAGATAGACCAGCAACTTTCGTAGATAACTTCATAATATTCTGATTAGGCTTAGTTCTAACTACCTCGATGACAGTAGGCTACAACTTAACACGGAACTTTTTAAATCTGATGAAGAAAGCTTAAGTAAGAACTAACAAAGAATACATGAATGTCAGGATACTCTATTAGGTAAAGAGTTGTAACTTAAGTAAAAATTTAGGATCCACACAAGTGAAAGTGACATGTGAATCCAAAACATAAAGGTTTGGTAGGCCCTACCCCAACTTCAAAGCATTTAAGAGCTAGTTTGTAAGAGGGCTAAAAAAGTACCTTCCAGCTTTAGGTTAGCCTTTCAGAAAACTGGTCAATCAAGAAATAAAAATGGTATTAGACCTAACCTATTCTCTGTTAATGAATTTAACACCTCGGCCTTCAGAAATAGAATCTATCAGGTATAACACTTTCTAGACAAGCACTCGTACTGAATTTCCAGTTTTTAGTGACGTGACATCCACATCTGCTAGTAGGCCTACAATACAAATCTACTCTACAAGACTCTACATCTACAATGAAGATAAAAATTAAAAATCAAGCCAAGATCGACCAAGAACGAGGATGATTCAACGATTCAACCAACCACGATGATGATGATGAGATGAGAATGAGATGATGATCAGATGATACACACACACACACGTAAACCCCAAAAAGAAAAGAACACGAACAGCGGCACAGGCGCTGCCTTCTGGATTTCTCAGCTCAACGTAGCAGAAAGATTCAAACTCTCAACATATATATCAAGCTTTCACGCAGAACTCATAGCCATACTGAAAGCAGTTCAATTTATAAAACAGCTCCCAGATAGTGATTTTGTAATATTTTCAGACTCACAATCAGCCATAGACAAAATTAATCAAAACTAACTGTGATGTAGAGGGCATCGTATTGGACATAGTGTATGAGCTTTCCAATTCAGGAAAGAATATCCTTATACACTGGTCTCCTGGCCACTGTGGCTTTATGGGCAATGAAACCTGATAAATTAGCGAAAGAAGCCACTACCCATGGTAATAGACAATTTCATAATACCCATGGACGATTTTAAGAGCTACCTAAATACACTCTACCACAGCCAACATAACAAATTGTTTACTCTCCGAAAAGGGTAACTGGTATAAGGGAATTGTAGATACAGTTTCCAAATACACATGGTTCCGTAATTCAAGATTAAAAAGAAAGGACATTATCACGATGTGTCGACTACGTTTGGGACATGCAAATGTAAATCTCTATTCCGTTATTCCGTATTAAAAAGTGTTTTACGCCACTCTGCCTAGCTGCACAATGGGCCGCAATGAATCAGTGGAACACCTGATTATAGAATGCCCGGCACATGAATCCGCCAGGAATAGATTTTTTTAATTAACACAGAAGATAATACAGAAATGTAATAGCTCCTACTATCTGCAAGAAATTCTCAGAACTAATGATACCATAATTTATGAAGGATTCATAGATTTCCTCGTATACACAAAGAAAAAATTTTAAACCAAAAACAAAACCAAACGCTCACATAAATTCATTCCAATCCTTGGGTTCTTCATCCACTGGCCTTCTTTTCGGGATAGAAATGCTTGACAGCCCTCAAGCGAGAAGACTCCAATCCAACCCTTCTCACAACTATTCCATCAAGGCCTTAGAATCCTACTAAATCCCATCTATTAACAGGAGACAACAAAAAACAAAATTAAATTTGCTAAAACAAAACCCTCAACAATACTAACAAAAACTTACCAATACTAATGAAAACCACAGAATCGTCAAATGAAATAAGTTAGTGCACAACGAGGCTGCATATAATAAGCCTGCTTTCGAGCAAAAAAGATAAAAAAAAGTTATAAAAAACCACAGCTGAAATAAAAGTTGTGCAGCCGGCCGCCGTCGTCTGCAGCCACCTCACCAAATAGTCAGACACTCGCACTCGAGCTTGATTTTGGTTTGGGCGTAGCGGATTTTTATACCCTGGAATTTTACCCCCTGGGCGAACGTGACGTCACAAAACAGGGGGTAAAATTCCGGTATTGGACTTTTGAGTTTTGCGACATCAGTTTGATGGCTTAAACGCGGAATTAAACGTATATATTTTTACGGTTGTGAATGTAATCAGAATATATCAAATTATAAAAACCTAGAGTGTACGGGCCGGAATTTTACCCCCTTCATGAGATCAGCTCAAAATGTACGGCCCGGATTTTTACCTTGGGTCAGATATATAAATTTTGTTAATTATCTTAATTCCGTATTCATTAAATAGTTAACATTATATTATTAAGTAGACTATCTTTTATTTGTAACATCAACTAATTAAACAGGTTTTTAATATTTGAGCGGAGCGAGCGAAGCTCTTTGAGATCGGACCTTATGCAAACTATGTAATCAATTAACTCAATAACGGCTGAACATATTTAATCCAAACTTACCAGGGGTATTTCGACAAATATTTTTGATGTTACTAAACAAACAAAAATTTCAATTTGATAATACTAAAATTTGATAATAATCGATTATTTCTTTAACGATTTATTATACAACCGTGGTAAGCAATGTTTTTCGTTTGTATTGTAACAATAACAAAATATGCCTTATTGTTTCATACGAAGAAATGTTCATCCAATTATCATTTAAATACGCTACTCAGTTTATTTTACATACTTATTAACCAGCAGTTGGCCCCAAACGCAAATCCCAAACATAAAAATTAAACAGCAAAACCTGTTTCCTGTTAACTTAGAAGAGATTACAAAATAAATAAATAAAGATATGCTATACTTAATAATAAAATGTTTACAATTTAAATCAAAACATAAATAGGAAAATCAATCATCCTTAATAATTTCTAAATCCGGCCAGGGGGTAAAATTCCGGGGGTAAAAATCCGGCCCGTACATCTTTAGTTGTCTAAACGCTAGTTTATATGGACAGGGGGTTAAATTCCAGTTTTATTGCTAATCTAATTAATCACGCTCTGTCTATTTTCATTAGACTTCCAAATCCGCGGGGGTAAAATTCCGCCCGCGAACAAACTTTTGCGCTCAGGTTACTAAGTCATAGTGACGTCAGCTTTGCCCAGGTGGTAAAATTCCAAGGGGATAAAATCCCGGCGACCCTGTACTGGAGTCTAAACCTTCCCTGTATCATCGCGATGTTGCACGACCACCTTTAACTACAGGCCGCGGCCTGGTAGAATTGGCAACGTCGCAAGTGGTGTTGTTCAGTGACAGACGTCCCATATGGCAGACAGGTGACATCAAAATAATGAACACAAAATATTGAAAATAAAACATACAGAATTGAAAACCGAAAAAATATGAATTAAAAATCTAGATCTGTACATTTTAAGCGGAGTCAATATTGTCATAGTCCAGTAACCAATCTTTCGTAAATACACAAATACCATTAGCAGCTTCCAAACAAAACAGCTGTTACAACCAACACCACTTGCGACGTTAATTGCCACTTCGAAAGCCGCGGTCTGGAGTTAAAGGCGGCTGTGGATGTTGTCACAGAAAACATACTACTGTAGTATGTTTTCTGTGATGTTGTCCCCTGGCGCTGCGGAGACTAGCGTCTCATTTTCCCTTTCAGAAACTGATGAGAACCTTTTCTGCGAAAGAGTGGGGGATTGGAGAGCCCCTCGCGTTGATTTAAGAAAATTTATTTTATAATATTTTAGTTAGAAAATTGACTTTTTAACTATAAAATTAATTTTTAAATTTTTAATTATAAAATTAAACTGTCATAACCTAACCTAACCAACCAAACTTGCTGATAATATAAAATAGTATATTACGTTACTAGTCCTGAAAATAAGTGTTTACCGGACGAGTGTGGTCGTTCCCGTGCGAGACGAAGTCGAGTACGGGATTACCATACGAGTCCGGTACACACATTTTGGACGAGTTACGTACGATAGTTTACGCCATACTACTAAATCCGTACAAATCCTTATATATTTTTCCACCAACTAAAGGACTAAAAATCACTAGTCATAACCTCTAAGAGAGGTTATGTTTTTGTTTATAACCACTCACTGCCACATAAATACACAGTATAATCAGCTGATTGGTGTCCGGCAAAACTCATTGCAGCACAGTAGTACGCAATGAAACCCCATTTGAATAAGCTGGCGGCAAACAGCTGTTTTCTGGACTAAATCCTTGCGTGGGAAGTTCGTCAAAATAATGTAGTGTGGCGTAAAAGATATAAAATAAAAATCGAATGAAGGTTTACTTAAAATTAATTTTTAATTATCAAATTAATTTTAAAATTGTTATTATAAAATTAAACTGCCATAACCTAACCGAACCAACTAAACTTGCTGATAATATAAAAAATATATAAGTTAAAGTAAAAATCTAATGAAGGTTTACTAATTTTAAAAAATGGTTCTGTTCATAAATAAAATTATAAATGCCTCAAATTCTAACAAAAGATGTACAGTTAAGAAGTATTCGCAATCTAAGCAAAACCTTGGACAAAAAATAATTAGTGTCGCCGGTGGGATTCGAACTGGGGACCTCCAGATCACGAGTCCGAGACGCTGTCTAATACGCCACTAACACCGATCCCCTAAGAGCAGAGTGACGTCACGCCCCCCACTCCTTCTCTAAAGAGGTTCTCATCAGTTCCTGGAAGGGGAAACTGAGACACTATACGCTGCGGAGTGGGGGAAATGATTCTCCAGTCCCGCAACAGGCAACAAGTCCCACCCGCTTCCCACTTGTCCCAGTCTGCTCTGCTGCCGAGTGCCGCTGCCGAGTGCTGCCTGCCAGTGCCACTAGACTAGACTGCGCGGCGTCCTAAACAAACCCGCGTTGTCTGTCTTGACTTTTACAAGTCACAACCTGTATAGTGTATAGTCCTTATCTTAGTTTCCTGTGTGTAATGTGTAGTTTGGGTGGTTTACTACAAAATATAATTAAAGGAGTCTAAAGGTATACGTATATCTTGTTTTTGTGATATGATATCATAGATTAGAATACTGTCATGGCTGATGTTTGAAACAACTGAGATTTGAGATTCATAAAGTTATCCATTTTAATCAAGTTAATTTCTGTTTTCTTAACTTAAATATTGTGTTTAATATCATCTACTTGTATAACTTTTCAATAATAACTAATAATCATTGAAGTGTAAGTGGCTGAAGAATTTATATTAAGATGAAGTGAGGCCATGCTTTGACCGATGTACCATAACCTATTTTTGGTGGATTAATAATAACTAGTGTACATGTTGCTCGAATTCGAGCAATTGCGAAGTATTACAGGAGTTATTTCAAAACGAATAACAGTCATATTTACAATGAGTTTAAAAGAGTCAACTCAAAGATTACCAGTGTGTAACTCAGACCATGGTTGTAGCATAGATGAAGTAATATAATATTATATTACTTCATCTATGGTTGTAGCTTCGTTATTGATAAACCTAAAGCATTCCGGCCGGTTTTCTCCTTCTCAAAATGCCTCGCTGTACATGCAACACAGGTCATTGATAGAGGGCCAATTGAGAACGAAAAGTCGTTTTGGGGTAGTGTTAGGGCGCATTTGTAACCTAAAAGTTGAGATTGTCCATGGTCAGGTGCTGACTGTGATGAGTTAAGCCTATTACGCACCACTGTTCTGTTGCTGCGGTCGTTATCACGATTACGCCTCCTGGTTATGTTTCGTTGTCGTTGCGTCGGAGGCATTTATAAGAAAAAACAACAAATAAATAAATTATAGCTATACAAAACAACGATAAATGCAAAATTTAAGTTACAATCATGCTAACACGATCCGTCATAGCGACACAAACAACGATAAATACACAAATTTAGGATACAACCATACTAACACGATCCGTCTTGGGGGTTATGTTTACACAAACTCAAGTAGTAAATAAATGTACTCAATGCGTTTCATTGAATTGAATACATTAAATAACAGCAATTAAATTATACAGCTGATCAAAATGTAAACAATTAGGTTCTTCATAAGGATAACATGGGAACTTTCAAAGCCACTGGGGTAGAGCCCAAGGGACTTTTTCATAAATGTAAGGCCAGTTTGCAAATCTACGCGACACGCTCTTTCCAATGAGACGTCAATCGATAAAATCGGTTAAGAAATGGCGGAGGAGTTCAACCGACAAAGTTTCATGTAGCGTATTAATTATATATAGATTGGTACGAACGAATGTTGTTTTAATGAAGAACTGACAAGTATACATATATACATATTTTAAGATGTCTAAACGAAAATCTACTACTAAGTGTGGGGTCTGTCGTAAGGTGGTAGTTGAAAACTCATATGCCCTTTGCCCTAGGCTGTGATTTTGGCTGTGACCACATGTGATCACATTGAGTGCGTAGGTATAAGCATTGAAGAGCATGATAGGCTAGTCGAAGAGAAAGAAAACTGGTAGGGGAAGGTTTTGTGCCATGGACCAATTTTACCTTTTTATTTTTAATTTTTTTGATATGGCACTTTAAAACACAATAAATGTTAGTGAAAAGTAATCATTGTTCTTTAACACAATACATATATTTTATTTAACCCTTTATTTTCACCCAAAACAAATATTTTCAATTATTAACATTTGGACCAAGGAACAATAAATACCTATTTTCTGGGAGATAGGCATGGACTCTTTTCCTGATGGATTTAGGCGGTTTTGCCTTTAATTTTAGTGAAATTCACTGACATCAGTGTTATTTCCATCATATTTAGGGGAAATAGGCCTAGGCAATATAAAAATCGTCGCTTAAGAAATATCAACTCCTAAATAAAATTAATTAGCCTAAGTGAAATTTTTAGCAAAATTGAGATTTTTGTATCTCTATTGAAACTTATGCATTGTACATGTCCTTGCAACGTAGTTTAATGAGAATCATACCGTATCATACAGTTTGTTGCCAGAGACAGTGTGTTATCAGTGTCATTGGATTGTTATCAGTGACAGCTTCTTGTTATCAATTACAGTGTTTGTTACCATCATAGTGTCTTGTTACCATCAGTGACAGTGACTAGTTATTAGTGACAGTTGACAGTGTATTGTTATCAGTGTCATTGACTTATTATCAATGACAGTGTCTTGTTATCACTGACAGGATCTTTTATAAATGACAGTGTCTTGGCATCAGTGATAGTGACTTGTTTTCAGTGACAATGTCTTGATAACAAGTATAGTTCAAACATATAGTTCATAATATAGTCAATGATGAATGGAACTTGCAGAACCATTCCTCTTCATAAGTCCCAGTCAGGAGAGGTGTGCCCCAGGGTTCCGTCTTGGGTCCGATTCTCTTCCTCATCTTCATAAATGATGTTCCATCCAGCTTGAATCTTGCAAACATATGCCTTTTTGCTGATGACACTTCTATCACCATTTCAAATCCCAGTATTCAGGCCTTAGAACAGACCTTATTTCTTGAATCCAACTGCCTGCTTCAGTGGTGTGAGGATAATGAACTAATTTTGAATGCCAACAAAACCACACTCCTTCAATTTAGCATTTCTCAGCATTCGCACATCCACTGACATACACTTTCTTCTTGATGATACCACTATCTGCCCCTCCCCAGATGTAAAGTTCCTTGGTTTAATTCTTGATGAGAACCTCAAATTTCACAAGCATATCGATCACGTTTCAAACAAGATATCTGTAGGGATTTTCATGCTCCGCACTCTTAAACATACCGTTTCGTCTGAGGTCCTCTTGACAGCCTACTATGGACTTGTTTATCCTTATCTGGCATATGCTGTACCTGTCTGGGGGTGTGAAAGCCAAAGGACTCAGTTCATATTCAGGCTTCAAAAAAAGGCTCTCCGAACTGTTTTTTCCCTTCACCGTCGTCAATCCTGCAAAGATGTCTTCAGATCACATAAAGTTCTAACTTTCCCTTCCATTTACATTTTAAAAACATAATCATTTATCAAGAAAAACCAATCATCATATAGCTCTCCAAGTATCCATAGTTATCGTCTCTGCAACAACTTCAATCTTTCAGTACCATACATGTGTCAGTACTCAACCACTTTCTTTCAGAAAAAATTCCACTTCAATGCAGTAAAACTTTTTAATGACCTCCCTCTCCCTTTGAAAGCCGAACAGGACATCGGAAAATTCAGGAAATTAGTTAAGTCCATGTTGATAAATAAGGTCTGCTACAGCGTCCGGGAATTTGCTGGTAATCTTTAACCTTATTAAACATAAAATAAAACAATTTGTGTATAATGTATTTAGTAGTTAATTAATTTCATAATAAATGTAATCTCTTGACTTGGCCAACGCAATGTACGGTATTGTTAATCTGGCTTAATAAAGGACTTTGACTTTGTTATTGATGACAGTGTCCTGTTATCAGTGACAGTGTCACTAAATGGGATCCCTTATGAAGCTGACAAATAACTTGTTCTTGTTCTAAGTGTTATTGAAACTAGTTGACTGAATAAGATTTGATAGCCTAAAAATTATACTTAGCCCTTAGTTTTATTTTAATTTTAAATTGGTTATACATAAGACTTTTTGCTTTTAAAAGCTGTTACTGTAGGACCGGTATATAAGTGTCAATTTTATACAGTATTTCGTGTTAGTACACTTATTTTAAGCCATTCAAGTACTAAGCAGGACTCAAAAAAACCGAATGAAATAAATTATGAGTAAATCTTTAAAAGAGCATCCATGCACGATCTTAGGGACCATGCATAAATTACATCACGCTATATTCAGTGCCTTTTAACCCCCTACACTACGCATATTAGGATCATTAAGCTAAAGGTTACTGAGTGAAAATTTAAAAACGTACGTTTTCAGGAAAAGCACTTTGCAAATTTTTTTCCCCTTTTTTCAAAACTTTTATTATTATTTTTATTTCATTAACATTTTAAGTTTCATAAAATGTCCATGGTAACACAATATCTTTGGTAGTTTTCTTTTTAAAGAGCATCTTTAGTAGAAAAACACAAAATCCTGTCACGACCATAACGGACGTTTAAATGAATATTAAAAATAGTTAATATTATTTTTATAACTATGTTTTGCTATAAACTAATTTACTTTTATGACCATTATACAATAAAAAGGTCACTGAGCTTTTGGTATATTTGGTCTTTCTAGAAAAAAAATTAAAAAACTCAAAAAATAGAAAAAAGCCAATAAAATCTTTTTAAGTTTGTATAACTCCAAAAAAACTTACCTGAGACCCGAAAAATCGTTATGTTTGTATAGAGGTGTGCTTCTTTTGTGTATAAAACATTAAAATATGACGATATTTTAATTTTTGAAATTTTTATGATAGAAATCATAAACGTGATGGTCAGGGACAAGCGGTACGGTCGTGAATTGTCTGGAATAATCTAAATCTTTCCAAACAATCCTTCAGTTATACTGTTAGTTATAATAAAACTATGTGTTTCAATTGAACTAAACTGTTCAATTTACAATTATATTAAAGTTATTGTCACGACCAAACTCACTATAATCCATAAGGCTGGATTGGTCGTGAAAAAACCGCGATGGTCGTGAAATTACGTGTTATTTGGCTCTGTTCTGGCGGTAGCCCTGCACCTCATGTTCGAGGATACAAAGTGGACTTCTAGGTTGATCTAGCAATTGAAATATCTTATAAACAAAAATTAACACCATGTCTACTTCATCGAATGACTACGTACGGTCATGGACACACCAAAATTACAAAAAACACAATCTTTCCTTTATTAATCTTGTAATTCCTCCTTTCAACTCAAAACGACCGGCACTACAATCCTGACGTACACCCCGAACTAGTCTCTAAAACCAACTGACTCCATCGACGCCAGGCTTGCCACTGTCGTGCTCCAAAGTTGAAAAATTTTCCCAAATGGTCGTGACGCCAAATCGAGGGACAGACTTATTTTGTCATGGTAGTCAGTCTGCAATGACAATAAAATTATAATATACTCCTTTTTTGTAAGTTTAATAACCATTGATAACATAAAAATATGACTTTATATATTTCGGCATGAATAATTAGTCTAAAAACAGCGTGAAAGTTGGAAAATGTACCCTAGGGACACGTCATGGTCGTGAATTTCGAGACTTTAAAAATACGAAAAAAATACCTAGAACCTATTTAAAACTAAATAAATGTGTGTAACATGTTGCCCCCGTCCCAAAAAATATTAAAACACATAATAATAAACTACAAATCCAGTATCTACGAAGTAAAAGGCCAGGGACATGAAAACGTACGTTTTTAAATTTAAATTAAATTAAAACTGTAAATTTAAATTTTCACTCTACTATATATTTGCCCAACCTCAATATGATTATTTTTAACCATAAGTTATAGTCAAATATGTTATCGTTAAAGATAAGTTACCTATAATAAAGTATCAACCTTTTTATATGTTTAAATCACTTAAGTAGGGTGACACACACACCCTAATCTTGTAATCTTTGCCATATTGTTTTTACGGTAAAAATAACATTAGGCCTACTAGGGTTAAATTTGGTTTAACCTAAAAAAATAATAACAACCTTTAAAATGAGTTTTTTAGGGCACCCCCAGTCATGTCACACTTACTAATTATTAAGTATTGAAATTGAGCGTAGGCCTATAGTATTTTGACACTGTAAGTGACGATTTATCAGGCTTTAACATTATGACATCATGGATACTGGTTCGCCTATGAATACAATCGATGTACCGGTATTTAATAAAAAAATGTTTATGGCAACATTTTGTTCAGAAAATGCGGCACCTTTATTAATAACACCCATTCTATTGCAGATGGAACTGATGGAAGATGTAAAAGAATATCGTCAGTTCAATGCGGCTACTGCGAAAATACATTCAACCAAAAAAAGAATCTAAACCGACACATAAAACGAGTACCTACACAAAATCAATGCACAAGGAGACAAAATAGATGAAACTAAGTTTACGTGCGTTTTTTGAGAGAAGACATATTGTTACAAACAGACATTGCAACGTCATATTGATTCAATACATATCTCGTTTAATGAAGCATTTTCATGTGACAAATGTGCCTACTAAACAAATGTCAAAAGTAACCTGAAGAGGCATATAACCAAGCGGCATGAAACACCATTAAACGTGTCCCAAAAAATACTTTTTCTTGTTCTTATTGCGAATCAGTATTTGCTTACAATGCGAACCTAATAAGACACCAAAAGACCAAACACAAAGTTCGGGCGCAATCTGAAATAAAAAGAAAGTGTCCAATGTGTTCTTTTGTTTCCAACTCAAGAACAAAAAAAGAAATCATTGTTCATTTATCATTGTCAATTTATTTAAAATCTAATGTCGTTTATTAAATTTATTTTAATTTTCAATGTAACGTTGTAGTATTTACAGTAAAAAATGGGAATTTTAAGATGCCTCTTAGCAGTTTTAGCGAATTTCCCTATAGGGAAGTAGCTATTACCGTAGGTGGCACGGTAAGACCTAGACCTGGGACCGATTTACTTTTTCATTTTGATGTCCCCAGAGGCCAAAAACACCATTCGTTCAAATTTTTATATATGTATATATATATATACAGGGTGAATTTTAAATGAGTTCCCCCCCTACTTTTTTCTACATCTCTTAAGATATCATCTCCGGACCACGTCAGATCATTGTTGAGTAGTAAGTACTTCATTTTGACTGGGTATACATTTTTGGCCGCCATCTTGGATCCGCCATATTGGATACAAAGTTTTTTTTTTTTTAAATGTAAAGATAGGGTTGTGACCCATTATTTCAAACTAGAATTTTACGCTGATTACAATGCCGCAATTAGTTTTTAAAAATCTTGATCCGTTCTAAAGTTATGAGGACTTTTTATAACTTTATTTTTAGCCCATTTTAACATTGTGCATTAACAAACTAAGACCATAATCTCAAAATAGTGCTAGATAAAGAAAAGTATACACCACCATTCAATGTCGGCATATTTTCACTTGGTTATGACGGATGTAGTTTTTTCAGACGCCATCTTGGATCCGCCATTTTGAAATGTGATCAATTAATTTAAATATGAAGGTGGTATTGTGACCCATCATTTTGAACTACTTTTTTATACTGGACTCAATGCCGCAATCCGTTTTTTGTTATCAAGCTTTCTTGATGAAATATTAAAATACTCTTATTTAAAATTTCAATATTTCAAAATCCAAAGATGCAAATGAAAAACGGATTGCGGCATTGAGTTCAGCATAAAAAATTAGCTCAAAATGATGGGTCACAACACCACCTTCATATTTAAATTAATACATCACATTTCAAAATGGCGGATCCAAGATGGCGGCTGAAAAACTACATCCGTCATAACCAATTGAAAATATGTCGACAATGAATGGTGGTGTATACTTATCTTTATCTAGCACTATTTTGAGATTATGGTCTTAGTTTGTTAATGCACAATGTTAAAATGGGCTAAAAATAAAGTTATAAAAAGTCCTCATAACTTTAGAACAGATCAAGATTTCTAAAAACTAATTGCGGCATTGTAATCAGCGTAAAATTCTAGTTTGAAATAATGGGCCACAACCCTACCTTTACATTTGAAAAAAAAACTTTGTATCCAATATGGCGGATCCAAGATGGCGGCCAAAAATGTATACCCAGTCAAAATGTAGTACTTACTACTCAACAATGATCTGACGTGGTCCGGAGATGATATCTTAAGAAATGTAGAAAAAAGTAGGGGGGAACTCATTTAAAATTCACCCTGTATATATATATATATATATACGTCCGTGAACGCGATGTGAACTTGAGTAATTTTTGCCAGATTTTGATGAAATTTGGTTTAAAGGTGTAAAGTGGGATAAACTTGAATGAGTTCGCGAACCAGCATGATCAGACCATGGGAACGGGGCTTTACGGGGGGTTTTATGGGGTAAAAATTGGTTTTTCTCACTTTTGACCCTCAAAACAAAAAATTTCCCGATTTCTTTTTAGATCTTTTTAAAGAGCTTAAAAAAACAAATAATTTAGTATATAAAAGTATTTTTGTTCGATTATTAGTAACGGAGAAAATTTAAAAAATTGTAAATTTAAAATTCCCATGTTATTCTTATGGAGAATATTGTAAAATGTTGTAGTTTGCTTGTTTATGGATATATTTTGATCAAACTTGGCAAATTTATTTATTTAGTACTAAGCTATCAATATTTTACTCAAAAACACACTTTATTAGTTTCCTTGTAGCAGCAAACCTAGGTACTCGTTAAACCTAATGTTATTAAAATATATTTAACTGAAAATCAATTCAGACAAATGGAAATTCGCTTAGTCGGCAGGTTTGCTACGGCGGGGGTATTTTTTTTTAATGTTAGATATTTTGTAATGCTAAATAATGCATTAAGATGCTTAAAAGTAAGTTAATGCAATATTTAAAAATAAGTACAAATAATGATGGAACACCCAATGCTATTTTAGTTCTGTTGTTGTTATGATAGGTTTATAATGCCAACAAATTAAATACAATCTAGGAAAAAGTTGTTTTCCAAGTAATGTTAGATACAATACCGACATTTTGTTGTTTGAATGTTTGTTCAATAATAATGTAGTTGCAATTAATTTTACATTTACCTAATGTGCGTGGAATAAAAGTAACGTCTTTGGAAAAGTAGCTAAAATTGTAGCTATACATTTCATTGTAGCTGTAGTTGTAGCTAGCTACTTTTTCGGAACTGTAGCTGTAGCTGTAGCTAAGCTACTTTTTTGAAAATGTAGCAGTTGTAGCTAGCTACATTTTAAAAGTAGCTTCCCCAACACTGTTGATTGATTAAATTAGAGTGGCAATCCGCTTGTGATTGGTGGAGAATACGCTTGGGCACAAGAACCCTTCCCTCAACACCGTCGCTTATGTACAATAACGTCAACAATTGATTGCCATTAGATTGAATTGAGACCTGTAGCATCTAGTTATGTGACTCAAGTGTTATTGTGAGCTTTAACCCTCACCCTTTACGCTATCCCAATTGACACGTTCCTTTTCACCATTAATATAAGCTACTGATATTTTTATCAAGGAGTCTACTTTATTGTCAACAACACTTTCACTTTTCTCACAAGGTATCGTTACTGTAAATATCTTGTATATTTACAGAGTCATGTTGGAGACCCATACGTCTCATGTCGGGCCGAATGCTTCACTCACTCCGACTGTCCTTCTCACAAACCATCCTGCCTTAATGCCAAGTGTGTGGACGTATGTGCGGGAGTTTGTGGAGTTAACGCCAACTTTCGCGTAAGAGACGGAACTACAGCTGTCTGCAGTTGTCCCAAAGACATGACGGGAAACCCTTTTGTCAGCTGTCGCCCATTCGAGAAGAGTAAGTTCTATATTTTTTTAGGTACGTAAGGGAGTTAAATTAAGTGTCACATTGATATATTGGACTCAAGTGCTAAAACTGTGTGGGCTTGATTTTTGCCTAAGTGTGAAATTCACTACGCTCAGATTTTTTCCCTAAATATTCATAAAATTCCCGGTAATTTTGAATGTGTTGCTAGCCTAGTGGTTAGCGGTTAGACCTTGGTGCGAGTGATATGGGTTCAATCCCTGACATATTAATTACTAAACTTAAATTTATATATAACTTGTATCAACGCCTTCCTTCAAAAGCGTTTGTGATCACTTCTTCAAAACTCTCTCTATCTAAGACAGTAACATTATAACAAACACAGTTAGTTGTGATTTGGTGTTCATTGTGTAAACTGTGGGACCCAACTCTTCACACAATAGAGGAAATGTATAAGGTCGACAAACATGTATTTTCAGATAAGAATATTTTTATTTCTGTAAAGCTATGTCGTTGCATTGATATGAAGACACATATTTCACATGAAAGCAGCACTCAAATTGTTTTCTCACAATTTTGAATTAATGAAAAAGTGAGAGGAATGATCCAGTGAGGGAATGACACAGATACAGGTTAACAACCAAACTCAATTTATTTAAGTAGGCTATATATGGAACAAATAAAAATGAACAGTATACTGTACTGTTCATAACTGACTTCAACGCCATCGTCAAATTTATAGTACAAGATTCCACCTCCCACCACAGATCAGTCAATAAAAGCCACATCCTCTTCCACAGTTTTTGGAGCATCCCTTATTCCCGACTAATCTAAAAAAAAAAATACTTTAACTTCTCTGTGTGTGTGTGTGTGTGTGTGTGTGTTGGGCCCCTATATAGCACAAAATGACATCCTTTTTGATACTGTATGGTTGTTTCCAATTCCCGATAAATTTATTTCACCTATTGTGAAAACTGAAAAACCTATATAATCATTGTGTATTAAGTATTTTTTTACTGTTAAAAATTACACCAGTATAAAATGAATAGGTTCAAACTATGACCAATCAGTCTCTGGAAGTTTTCGGATAACAACTGTGGTGAAATCTCCGTTGTTGATGCTACGACACTGTTCTCAACTTCGTGATTTCAGTCAGTAAGCAGCAATTTCCTGTTCCCAAATACACTGAAATAGCAGAATAACAAGTTTGCTAGTGGGAAATCAAGTAGGCCTACTTATTTCTGGTTGATAAAATCATCCTTTTGAGAGGATCATTTTAATTTTAATTTTTAATTAATACTGGTACAGTTATATTTAATCCTGGCAATACCTCATAATAAAAAAAATATTGGATTTTATTTGTGTTTGTTTAAATGAATGAAATTCTTACCTAGGCCTAGGCCTAATAAATAGGGATTTTTTAAGGGGGATATGGTATCATACATTTTTCAATCCCTAATTTATAACTAATTTACTGATTAAAAACAATAATTCTTCAGCATATTTTTTTAAAAAGATCTTACTAATCAATATTTTTATATTTAAAATGCTAAAATAAATAATATTTGTACAACTCAATTAAGGCAGGGTGCACACTGGAGAAACCCGTTTCAGGAAACTGGTTTCATTAAATTTGTTTCAAGGAAACCATTTCTTTAACAAATGCACACAGAAGAAACGGGATTCCATCAGTTTCGTGATATGAATTCGGATGATGATTATGTGACTATATTGGTGATGAGTGGCTAAAGAAAACGAAAAGAAGGAAGTATTGGGTTCACCTGTTGATTAGGGATGGTCAACACAGTACTTACATTGTAGCTCATTAATTATGCAGTGATACTGTCAAATTCTTTGATGTTTTAGAATGCCAAAGCCTCTTTTTGAACGTTTGGTGGAATTACTTAGCCTACTAATAACAAAGAAGGACACCAACCGAAGGTTAGCTCTGAGTGCTGAGGAAAAATAACAATACATTGAGAAAGTCAATAAAACCAATAGAAACGTGAAACTGAAGCCTATACGAAATCTGTTTTTTGGATTTCATGTATACCAGTTGCAAGAAACAAATTAAATTAAAGTTTCATGCAACGCAGTGTGCACTGCCCTGTGTTAAGCTAATCTATTTGTTGCGAGCAACTAAAGTTTCTCGTTTCATGAAATCGGTTTCCTGAAACGGGTTTCTCCAGTGTGCACCCTGCCTAAAATATATTGAATGAAGATTTAAATGACTTCTGAGAACTGGAACTAAACAAGAATCTTATCACAAGTGTTATTTTGTCTATGGCAGTGTATTTTGAGGTTTGCATCTTGAATTCATTTGCGTGGGAAAGTCGTTGTCTAGCACTGGAGCCAACGCTGGTGGAGAGCTGGTTGGTGTTGTAGACTGCTTGTAATGCATGTAGAATGCTTGTAAACACTATAGGTAGCCTATATGACTCATTTAACACAGTAATACAAAGCTGGTAGAAATTATACGATATATTTGTTAATAATGAATGTGTGAAATTCAATATCAGAACTGACTGATGATGATATCCACAGTTTTGATAAGTAAATCTGTTATTCTTGTTTATGGTTTTCAATGATCCTTGTTCAACATAAATACATATACCATATATCAGTTACTTTTCCTGATTTAAAATATTGATTTTATGAGTTATTCCTTATTTGTATAGGTACAGTGTACTAAAAAAAACCTCAAAGTCAAAGTCATAGTCAAATCGTTTATTTCCAAAATTTTAACAATACAATAAACAGATATAAATTAAAAAGAAATATATTTTTCCGCATAGGCATAAGCCCGTGTGCGGAAAAAGAGTTCTAAATCTGCTATCTGGTATATTGTGGATAAACAGTGATTTTTATTGTCTAATTAAAACATTTACTAACATCACCTGATAGTGAGTAGAACAGCGGTGAAGTTGTAAAGGGACATTGGAAACGGATTTTCCTTTTCCGGTAGCTTTGCAAATAAGTGGTGATGTTATCCCTTCAATGTTATCTCCAAAGTCAAATGCAGATTGTTTCTCATACCGGAGATTTTACAACTACAACACTGTTGCTTAAAACATGGTGGACACAAATGATTAGGCTCCTGAAATCACTGTGATGTGTGACTGATTTAGGATGTAACATAGAGCACAAGGGCCTAGGTTTTTATGATTTATAGTTTGGATAGCAGGCTTACATGAATGGGAAATAGTCCAACCAAACAGCACAAAGAATACATAACTTTACACTATGCAATAAAATTATCATCTTAACAAAAACTTCCTGGAATTGGAACAAATCTATCTTCTGATATTTGGTTTGATTAGAAAGGGCTTATTGCCTCAGAATTAAGGAGACAAAGGACAGGATAAGCACGCTTACCTTAAAAATATACAAAAGAAACACTCAATATTTTGATACCGCTGGCTCCTTTCTCATCATTGAGAGTCACATCGGAGACTTGAAGTAAAAAACCAGCGAAAGACTTCCAGAATCCAGTGTGACCCTCAATGTTGAGAAAGGGGCCAGTGGCCTTTAAGGGCACACGCTCCCTCTTACGGCAAGTTTGTAGGCGACGCCAGCGTGCTCCACAGCGGCGGTATCGGTTTGAACTAGAAAGCTGAGTCACAACTAAAGTAGTTCCCTCCCCACGGGCGAGTGGCGGGAACCCACCAAAAGTGTTTGACCATTTTTTTCAATATCCTTAAAGAGAGTATCAAATGAATTGTTGTAATCTTGAATATTAGGTTTGGATTAAAATCTTGGTTTAGTTACCAGTCCATAAACTAGGGGTTTATTGAATTTTTGACAAGTAAGGCTGTTATTTACAAAGTTTGAGGACAATGGTTTTTTGAAATGTTTTTTGAAGGCAGTTGCAACCCCAGCGCTCATGTGCCTGTCATCATATACATCTGCAGATATGCAGTGGGTAAAGGCAGTGTTTTCGGTGTCTCACAGCTTGTGAATTACCTTATTCATGTCAGCCTCTACAAATGTGACGGGTTCTTCATCTGAAGGCAGTCGGATGTTGAAGTTATTGGATAGAGCGGGGTTGAAACAGCAGTCGCGGATTATATTTAGGATTTCTTCAGAAATTTTTCTTTTACCTTTTTTGTTGAAATGCAAACCATGATTTGTGTACATTTCCCGAGGCAAGAGGTGTAGTTCTAGTAATCTTCTTTTTTCTATGGAGTTGTTCAATTTTCCTTCAAGCCAATAGTTTATGTTACTAATTTTGCTGTCTAATTTTGGCAAGTCATGTCACATAGGCAGTGATGCAATAATCAAGTTTGTTTTATTGATACTGGTTAGTAAAGTGTTGAATTCTTCTTTTATGCTGCTTACACTTTTGTCTTTTATATCATTAGTCCCACCTATTACCAACAGATAATGATTTTCACTCAAGTCCTTGGAAAGATCCTTAACATCCTTTACGACATCACACAGCAATGCCCCAGGTTTTATAAAGGAAGTGACGTTAGCAACGGTCTTTTGTTGTACAAGATTGCCAAGGTCACGACCATGGCTATCAAAAATTAGTAGTCTTGATTTGTTTGGTTTGTTGCGAGAAATAGTTATTTTCTTTGGTTTTACATGTGTTTTTAAATTTTGTTTGTTATATTTTCTATGTGTAGAGGCTGTTACTGGTTGGGCTGTTGGAAGTTTATCCTCACCATTAGTATTTACATCTGAAAGAACTACAAACTTATTTTGACATTCAACTGTAGGCCTACACATTTCTTTTCTCCCCTTATTAGCTTTTGATGGATTTTTCGGCGTTTGCCACTCATCACATGCTGAATTTTTAGCATTTATTCTCGGAAAACAATTTAAACATTTTAAACTGTACTGTTGGCTATTTTGCAGCTGAAGGTTTTTGTTTCTGAGTTCCTCATTTTCACTTTGTAGAACGCTAATGATAGACTCTAAGTGATCTTATGGAGTCATAATGTTTTTTGTTTCCTGACCATAAATATTACATGTTTTACAAGTGGTTCCACTAGACGTATCATTGATAGAATGTACATCAGAAGTTGCTTGTAGAGTTAGTAGATCATTTAATTTTTTTAGTGTATTGACCTTGTTTTTTAAAGATTTAATTATAGCACCTAACTCATCTTCCTTTTCTTCTTTGGTTTTGATAAGATTTTTTATTTCATCATCTTTAACGATTAATTTATCTTCTAATTCAAGCTCATGGAGTGATTTTGAATTTTGTACATCATGTAAAGTTTGCTCTAACTCCTCATTCTCACTGCGAATTGCACTACCTATCTCAGTAGCTAAAGTGAGAGAATTTTTAAGGTTGTCATTAACAAGTAACAATTTACTGCTCTCCATTGTATTTGTGGTTTCATCTTCCTCATCTCCTGATTTTAAACATGCATTACACAGCCATAATTTTGCATTATCCAAAGATAATTTTTTGGCCTCATTGTAGGACAGATTTACACACCTAAGATGGTACCACTTTTTACAGGGACCATTGCAAAATATGGCTCCAAAGGTAGCATTTTTCTCACAAACCCCACAAGGATACTTATTTGGTTTTAATTTTAAACATTTTTTCCATCTTAATTTCTATGAAATGCAAAATAAATTATATTACAGTAGAACCTCGATAACAAGACTCTCATGGGGATTATTAAATTAGACTTGTTATCAAGGTTGACATCTTATTGAGGTTTGTAATAACATGTGATTAGGGGTCAAATAAATTCAAGGGGATTTGAAAATTACACTTGTTATCAAGGGTGACTTGTTATTAAGGGTCTTCTTATCGAGGTTCTACTGTAGTTAAGTAATGTTTTTACAAGTACAAATAATAAATAAATTAATGTATGGAATTTTCATACAAATAAGTTATTAGATAAGTTACTATGCGTTGTTTGTAAACAAAGATAACCAAGTGACAGTTCTATTTACAAAGGAAGAATTCAAACAAAAATCCGGTCAGGTTATCTTATCAGTAGCCGAGTATGGATTGAACAAACTTGCAGAGTTGAGCAGGAATGATCAGTTCAGTCCTCTTGTTTGAAAAGCCCAACTAATAATTCCAGTTTAGAAAAGTGTTAATGAAGTTAAAACTAGTATTAGTGCTCACCAGGTCTGTTGATGTTATGTATGAGAAAAACAAGCACTACTTTCATTTTTGAAACAGTGAGTATTAATAAATGTTGCCGTTAGGGGGAGCGTGCCCTTAATGGCCACTGGCCCCTTTCTCAACATTGAGGGTCATACTGGATTCTGGAAGTCTTTAACTGAGTACAGAGGGCCTTTTGTTTTGTCGTATTGCCAAAAAGAACCTACCACACCTTTTTTCTTCTCAACTACTTCATCAGGAGTCATATTTTTCCCAGTTAGAGGACATTTGACTTCTATTAGGGCATCTTCACCGACCAGCCCTTTAGGCGATGCAGCGAGCTACGGTCTTTGCCTGTCTATGAAGAGTCCGCATTTGGATACCGCACATCCTGTAAATGTTTCAAAACACTTTACTGCATCCGCTTCATGCGCCTGGCCATACCTAGTAGCTGCACAGTCGACTTTAGAGTAGAGTAGCTTTTTTACAACTGGACCGCAACTGAAATCTTCCCTCCTATTACACACTAGTCCAAAATTGGAAGCAGTGAGCCTCAGTCGTCTTTGTTCCAACCACAATGTGTTGTCTTTCTGATTCAATGTTAATCGTTCCAATTCTACAATCTCATTTTCAGTTTTCCTCAAATTTTCTAGATGATCTTTAACTTTGATTTCATACAAAGCTTCATCAATGTCAGGTTTCTGTGCAAGAGGTCCGTAGTCTTTGTCTGGTCCTGCCGCTGCCAATACAAGTGATAGCCTGGCTTTTGGTTTTTTTTCTACTCCTTTCTAAATCTTTCTCAGCTTTACGTTTGGCTCTGGCTTCATACAGTTTCTCGTAACCTCCCGGGCTTGATGTAGTTATTGACTTGTGAAGCTTGTAGAAAAGCTGTCAACTGTTGTATTTTACCACTGCTGCGGCACATCTGGTTTGATATCCATTGCGTTGAATCTGGTTTGTTCTTTTGCCTCCTGTGTACATCGCTATGACAGAGTTGTACTGTTCGACACTGTTGCTATCAACGTCTTGGATAAGGTGGTAACTGTAGTCGGCTAAAGCATTTACAGCAATCATGATTTTTTTTATACAAACCACATTTCTGCATGTCTTCAATTAGGTTTCTCTCTCCCTCTTTGGGAACGCCATCACAAAAATAACCTATTTCTCCGCAGTTCTTATGTTCATCAAAGACGTGACTTGGAGAATTTATAATATCTTTTCTTATTTTGTCAGCCTTTGTTTTTAAGGACCCCTCTTCATTCTTCCTGTGCTCTATCGCCTTTTTAACTCCCACACGACACCTAAATAACCGATTACCAAAAGCACGCCTCATCTTCAGATATAGTTCTTTGTTTGTATCGTCTCCGTTGTAGCTTGATGTTGAAATTTCTTTGAGCTTGTTATTGAAATTCCGAAACAAATGGTTCCGACACTCAACCTTCTCCACTGTTAGCGTTTCATAAGGCCTGTACTCAAGAATTTTGGTATACTTGCTACTATCTCCGTCTGCTATGAATTTGCTATACTTAACACCATGCATTACAAATCCTTCTAAGATTGCCATTGCTTCCATACTAGATGAACTTCCTGTCCAATTTTTAAAGCACGTGTGCTTTGGCGCGGCGAAGTTCTCAAGCTGACCTGCTTTGTTTGCAGCGCGGGCACAAACGACGCAGTAGGCCTACTTATTCTTGATTCCGAAGTACAAGACCTTTCTGGTGTGGTAACCAACAATGGCAACCTGGAATGGAATACTGTAATCAGAATATAATATATTGGTCCCCAAACTATAACAACAACATTTTCCCTGAAAACAGACAGTTAGGGAAAAATTTATTTGAAAAAACTATCCGTGTTTACAGCCATAACCAACCAAAATATTGTACTGTTTGTGCTAACTTCTCAAAATCTGATCACTTTTTGGGGGGACAGACGTTTTTATAGTTGTACGTTGAATTGTGTTTTTATGTTATAGGCTATAGCAAAATTTTATAAATATTTTGGCAAAGCTACTATTAATGGATATATAAAAAAACACATTTACCTAATTATGATTCAGTAGGCTATTTACATTTCATGTTAAGATAACGATGTTGCTATTCTTTCTCTTTGTTCTTCTATCCTTTCTTGGGTTTCTCTTCATTCAAAAATTCAGCAAGTCGCTATTGTTATACAGTAATGATAGATGGAATACATTCTTTGTCTATGTGGCTTATTTTACAGTATTATTATTATTATTACAGCAAAAAACACCATGAAGCCATCGCCAATATATGGGCTTATACTTACAGCAAATGAGGTCATTCAATATAGTACAAAGGATGGACCAAAGTACCTATATGAACAAGTTTTTTTAACTATTCTACTGAATCTAGCATTCATATTTATTTGTTCATGAATATATGATTTCAGGGTAAAGAAGAAAATCAACAGACTGCTTGACATGTGGAAAGGGAAAGGAGACAGACACAAGAGGTCACACACAAGAGACTTCTTCAATTAAAAGTTTTCAACGATCTCCAAACTATAAGCAAGAATCAAGGATAATTGCTTAAGACCGGATGCTATTGAACAATTATTTGAAAAATATATATCTCCGTGAATGAAAACAATTACAAACCAAACACACACAAGAGGCTTCTTCAATTAAAAGTTTTCAACGATCTCCAAACTATAAGCAAGAATCAAGGATAATTGCTTAAGACCGGATGCTATTGAACAATTATTTGAAAAATATATATCTCCGTGAATGAAAACAATTACAAACCAAACACACACAAGAGGCTTCTTCAATTAAAAGTTTTCAACGATCTCCAAACTATAAGCAAGAATCAAGGATAATTGCTTAAGACCGGATGCTATTGAACAATTATTTGAAAAATATATATCTCCGTGAATGAAAACAATTACAAACCAAACACACACAAGAGGCTTCTTCAATTAAAAGTTTTCAACGATCTCCAAACTATAAGCAAGAATCAAGGATAATTGCTTAAGACCAGATGCTATTGAACAATTATTTGAAATATATATATCTCCGTGAATGAAAACAATTACAAACCAAACAAACTTGGATTACAATAGCAGATAAGTTGTTCATGTTGTACAGCTATCAAATACATGGTTTTAAGGCTAGATTTCTTTGTCATCACATTATATAATCCTGCATTTCTCATAAGAGCGTTTGATGTATACTCACTTGTTTGGTTGTATAATGAGGTGCATGATATTGGAAACCATAGCCTCATTCCACAACAACAAATTTTGATTTTTCAGCAACATATTTTTATTTGATCTTTTTGAACTTTGTGTCATTTGATTGGAGACTTGACATTTTAAATTAAAGTATTATAGAAATTTGTTTATAAAATCTGAATTTTTTTGTAATTTAAACTAAGAAAATTAAAAAATCTGCCATTTTGAATTGTACAATTATAATCTCTTTTAACATGGGTCTCTTCTAACATAACACATACTAATTTTATAAAAATCTGTTGGAACAATCAAATGATAAAAATCTTCAAGTAAAAATAAAATACAAAATGGTGGATATCTGATTAACAAAGCAATTTTGGAAAAAGTTTCATTCTTGACATTCTTTTTAATTTTGACCCAGTGATAGCAGAAAAAGCATATAAAACCAATACAAAATATATGAGATTAGGTACAGTGTAAAAGTACATTGTTTCATCTTTAAAATTCACGGTCAACAATTAAGGGAAAAATATTGCTGTAGATAGTAGACGAAATAATATAATGAAAAGAAATAAAATATTATCGTAGTATCACAGTTCCCATAGTCTGCTGGTATGCAAACGCTCCCAAATACATGTAGGTTTACACGTTTATATTAAATTTTGTCAATATCTGATAATTTATACATATATACAGTACTGTATATTGATTTTTAATATGAATTATTCATATTATAAAAATGATATATGAGAATTATATGGTCGTGTGATTCCACATACTTTCACCTAATTTGAAAAATATTTCCAATCCCAAGCCAATACTAATTGTATAGGTTCAGCAATTGCTGTGAGAATACCTGGTAAAATTAACATGGAAACTTGAAAATTTTTATTAACGATGAATTGGCAACATAATAAATATGGAGCATTACTAATATAATATCATATGTAAAACAAAACATACATAACACACATAAAATACTTTACTATTCAGGGTTAATAAAAAGTCTAGAGACCCCCTATTACAGTAGCTTTTTAATGGGTTACACCAGGAAAACCAAACTTTGCCTGCACACCTCTATATAGCATAAAAGTGCACTTTTTTGTTGGCATCCAAATTTCGTCCGAAAACCCAAAATGGGGTTTTTTGGGGGCGGCTCAAAAATGATAAATGTAAAGCCCCATCAAGTGACACCTCATTTTAAAGGCCATTTAGTTTAAAAGAATATCGGTGAAAACTAAAGATCTTTATCTCAACCCATTACAGAATGTCAGCCACTTTTGTTTATTCATTACCCTGAGAGACCCCAGGTAAAAATTATACATCAATATCCCCTATTAAGGGTTTTGTGGATTGTATCAGAAAAACTAAACAGAGTTTAACTGTAACAAGAATCTAAAAACTCTTTTTTGGTTGGTATGATAATTTTGCCCGAAAGCCCAAACATTTTGGGAGCAGCTCAACATTTTTTTTATATAAAGTCCCATCAAGTGACACCTCATTTTGAAGGCAATTAGTTTAATATCGGTGGAAACTAGAGATATCTATCTCAACCCAATACAAATTGGCGGTAGATTTTAGTTTTCATCAACCTCAGGAGACCCCACTTAAAATTTTACATTAATATTCCCTATTAACATTTTATAGAATTGTTCCAGGAAAGCTTATCACTCCATAATTAAAACAGTGTAGCCTACCCTCTAGTTGGTATTAGGTTTCTCTCTGGGAACCCAAAACGAAGCAATAGGGGCAGCTCAAAAATGTTAAATGTAAACCCTGAAAACTAAAAACTGCCGCCATTTTGTACTGGGTTGAGGTAGGACCCTCTGGCTTTTGTCGATATTCTTTTTAACTGGTGCAGGGTTGGTACGGTCAGGGAAAACCTGGAAATGTCAGGGAATTTTTTTGGTCCGGAAAAGTCAGGGAATTTTGGAAAAAATCTGGAATTTCTCTTGAAAGACTAAATTTTTTACAGATATGCTACATTTTGCATCTATGTCTCTATACTTGGTCAAAAACATCGAAGTTTGATGAAAACATCGATGTAACAAAAACATCGGGAACCTACCATCGATATAAAAAACATAGAACATCGACAGACATTCTATCATCACCCTCTGATTACTGGCTTTAATTGAACGCACCGAGCTCCCTGTGTTTCTACACGATCAAAAGAATATAATCCCGGTCACTGGGTTAAGAAATCCCGTTTAATCCCTTAAGATTTTTTATGTTAAATTCTGAGTGTTAAATTAGACATATCTTGTTTAAATAGTTGTTTTTACATTGCTATTATATTTTGATAAGGTAATTTTTTCGATTGGGGTTAGTTTTTCACTAAAATAAAGCATAGTAACTAAAAACGGACGTCATAGCCAAAACTCCTGTTTTATCCCACATCCCCTTCAAATCCCGCTCATGCTCTAAAAATCCTGTTTTCGGCATAATAATCCCACGTATGGAAACACTGCTAGTACCGCGATGCGGGGAAGGATAGGCCTACATTCATCGTTTCAATTTCAATACGATACTGAATACAATTCCTCATTGAATTTATACCAATACTGATTCAACCTTTAATAAACTAAAAAAAAAAACTGCACTTGTAGGAGTTTATAAAAATATATTTATCCTGTTAGTTTAAACATTTAATAGTTTAGTTTAGTACTACTTTTTGTCTCCGGTACAAGCATGGTAGTTATTTTTCCAATATCACATGTTTCTTCCGATATAAACCGATGATATCACAAGCAAAATATCGATATATATCAGTATCAGAAGCACCGTATCGTCTATCTGCCAGTGTCAAGTCAAGGCCAAGTAGAACATAAAGTGTGAGGCAGTGGCGTAGATAGCCTCTTGTCATGGGGGGGATACCGGGGGGGTCAGCAAGGAAGGGGGGTCCGGGGGTGGATAGGCTGTTGACCTTCCGTGACTTGTGTCTGTACTCTGTTTCGGCGCAAAAGCCATACTACTTTCACTGGCATTGCAGTTTATTTACGGTTTATTGATATTGAAAGTATACTTACGAAAAACAAGCTTGATACAATATAGAAGTAAAATTAAAAAGATTCACTATTTCATTGCATACGTTAGAACATTATTTTTTAAATGTTATTACAATTTTTTTACCCATTATAGGTTGAAGGGGGGGGGGTATATCCCCCTGATCCCCCCCCCCCCCCCCCCGTATCTACGCCACTGGTGTGAGGTTAAGTTAGTTGGTACTCTTACTTTTTCAGATTCCTGATGTTTAATTCTTTTCTTATTGGTTTTATGAGTAAACTATTTAGTTAGGCCTACATTTTTTCTAATATTTCTTGATTCTGACTATTTGATATCGTCTTTACGGTATACCTGGAAAAAGTATAATATCAGTCTGGAAAACCTGGAAGAGTCAGGGAATTTCATTTTCCAAAATCAGTACCAACCCTGTGGTAGCCTTCAAAATTAGGTGTGACTTGATGAGGCTTTACATCCAAAATTTTTGAGCTGCCCTTCCAAAATAACCCAGTTTGGGTTTTTGAACAAAATCGTGATACCGTACCAACAAAAAATTGCATTTTTACGCTATATACCAGCTTTGATACAATAGAGCGAGTAGTGTTGTCAAAAGCTGCTTCTATATCAAGAAATGCAGCCAACGCTATTTCAATCTTACAAACCAGTGCATGCAGGGCTGTTTCGCATGACTTTCCCTTCTAATAGGCGTTGGTTGGTTCGGGTGCAAAGGACGGCTTACAAGGGCCCTATCCTTTATTCGTCTATCCATTAATTTCTCCATGGTCTTCAAGAGAAACAATGTAAGGCTGATAGGTGTAAAAGCCTTAGGCACAGCATATGTGTCCCTTCCAGGCTTCAGTATGAATACCACCCTTGAGGTCCTCCATGCTGTTGGTATAACTCCACTAGCTAAGCTGGTCCTGAAAAGACGCACCAAGGGGAGTATCAACTCAACTGGTCCCCACCCTTCTGCAAGAACACAGGATATATGACATCGGTACCATTTACAAGGATTTATTTACTATTAGTTCTTAAAATAATTTGATGTGAATTCAGCATTAGTTAATAACACTTGAAAAATGAATGAATGAAATGTGTTTATTTCCACATAATATATACAGAAAACAAAACATACTTTTTAATACAAAATATACTTACAAAATAAAACTAAGACTAAGAATAAAAAAGAACATTTCTGTATATTCTACTCATACAAGTTCATAAACATAAACAAAATAAAAACTATAAAACAACTTTAACTAGTAACGATTTGCAAGGTCGTTCAGTTGAATTCAGAAATAGTACTTTAGAAAAATGTTGATGTACAGTAGTACATTTGAAGTACTTACTCAGGTACTTGTGCACAGTTATGCAATAAAACGCAAAGATCCACAG